TGTATAAGAAATTATACCAAGTAAATTCCTGAAACCAGTTTAATTTCATTATTCTAAAACCACAGTTACATAATTTCTACTGATCCAATTTGCATTATTTTATTTTATTAAAAGTATCTTCAAACAGATCAATTCTTATTCTTATAAAAATTATACACGGTAAAAACTAATTGGCAAATCAAATCTTGAATTTTACCTGTAAAAGATTGGCTTTTGGGAGTTATCTTTTGTAGCCATTGTTTCTACAAAAATGCAGTTTACCCCGAGTGACTTGTATAGGTCTAAACAGTACTAAATGCAGTTGTAGCCACTATGTATTTGACTTTGTTTGGTTTTGCTGCTATTTATATTTATTTTAAGATGTAGATCAGTATTTCCCAAAGTGTGGTACGCATACCCCCAGGGGTACGGGAAGAGTTTGGTGGGGATATGCACTGCACCGTGCTTAGTTGCGCCTAATTCTACCTTCTCATGAGTACGAGGGGTACTCAGCATTTCAAACATTATAGAAGGGGTACACATATGTCAACAGTTTGGGGAACACTGATGTAGATAAAGCAAAAATAGTCCTTTGTTTTGGATTAGTGTGTTACACTGCTAATTAGATTCTCTGACAATCTTTGCAAACTGTGTACTAACTGTGCAGACTCTGACCTGGTGAAAGAGCATGTAGAACAGGAATAAGTGTTCTCTGTTACATAGACTGTCATGTCCTCTCCAAATAGAGATGGTTAAGCTTCTGGGTGTATAATCTTACGGCTTTAATTTCTCATTTTGTCTTATTAATGCTTAATTAATAAGATTGGGACATTCACTACAATGATGAATGCAGATGTCCTCAGAAGAGAAGCCAAAAATGTTACCATTTAGTAGGATGTTAGCTGTTTGGAGTTTCCCCTCTTTATGCAATTGAGAAGGTGCCCTTTCACTCCTAGTTTTGACACAAGAAGATGCTCAATGTTTCCAATGTCTTATTTCTAACTATTGAGATAAAATATGACTATCCCTCTCTATTTTGATGATGAATTATAATGATTGGTTTTTAAATTTAAAAAAAATCTTCCTTGTCTGGGATAAACCCAAATAGTCATCATCTAAGAACCGTTTTTATATACTGCTAGATTCTATTACATTTTGTTAGGAATTTTGTATCAATGTTTATAAGAAATATTGGTGTATACATTGATTTTCTTGCAATTATCTTATAAGTTTTTAGTGGTAGAAGTATGCTGACCTCATAAAGTAAATGAGGAATGCCTTCTTCATTTTCTAAAAGATTTTAATGCAAGGCTGGTATTTCTTCTTCTTTAAATGTGTGAATTCAACAATCTTTCTGAGCCACTCTTTTTCTTTGTGGGAGAGTTTTAATAACACTTTATTTTAATATTTATTATTATTATTTTCTATTTTATATATGATACTGAACAATTATATTACATATTTTATTAATACCAACCTAATCAGATTCTATCTTCTTACCTCAGTTAAAACTGTGTTTTAAGGAAGTTTTAAAACAATTAAATCTTTATTATTGAAAGTATTACATATATCCCACATTTTCTCTCAGTGACTTCCCTCTCTGACATCCTCATCCTCTCACCCCAGGCCTTCATCACCTATTGTCTGTGTCCATAGGTTATGCATACATGCATACAAGGTCTTTGGTTGATCTCTTCCTCTGAGATTCTGCAGTCTGTTCTATGCTTCTATATCTCTAGGTCTATTTTGTTCACTAGATTCCACACATGAATGAGACCATGTGATACTTGTCTTTCTCTGATTGGCTATTTCGCTAAGCATGATACTCTCCGGGTCCCTCCATGCTGGGACCTGCTGCGTGGTATTCCATGGTATAAGTGTACCGGCTTTTTATCCACTCATCTACTGATGGCACTTGGGCTGTTTCCAGAGGTTAGCTATTGCAAATCGCCCTCCTGTGAACATAGGGGTGCATCTATTCTTTCTGATAGATGTATCTGGTTTCTTAGGATATATTCCTAGAAGTGGGACCACTGGGCCTAAGGGCAGTTCCATATTTAGTTTTCTGAGGAAACTCCATGTTTTCCGTAGTGGCTGCACCAGTCTGCATTCCCAGCAGCAGTGCACTAGGGCTCCTTTTCTCCACATGCTCGCCAGCACTTGCCATACTTTTTATAATGTCAATCCTGATAAATAATTTTATAAGAATGTGTTTTTGCAATTCTTTTTATTTTTTATTTTTTATTTTTTATGTTATTGATTTTGTACAAAGAGGAAGGGAGAGAGATAGAGTTAGAAACATCGATGAGAGAGAGTCATTGATCAGCTGCCTCTTGCACACCCCCTACTGGGGATATGCCCGCAACCGAGGTACATGCCTTTGACCGGAATCGAACCCGGGACCTTTCAGTCCCCAAGCCGACGCTCTATCCATTTAGCCAAACCAGTCCCGGCTGCAATTCTTTTTTTTTAATATCCTTACCTGAGGATATATTTTTATTGACTTTAGAGAGAGAGAAACATTGATTGCTGCCTCCTGCATTGGCCCCGACTGGGTTTCGAACCCGCGACCTCAGTTTGTGACTGTGATTGAACCTGAAACCCTTCAGTGTATGGCACAACACTCCAAGTAGTAGAGCCATCTGGCCAGGGCCTTTGCAATTCTTGTCTCATATTTGACTTGGATTATTTGTCAAGAAACCAAGTATAATCCAGTAATTACATCACCAATTATTTCTTTTCAAAAGTAGTATCTGTCACCCTAGCCAGTTTTCTCAGTGGTTGGAGCACAGTCCCTTACACCAAAAAGGTGGCGGTTCAGTTCTGGTCAGGGCACATGAGGTTGCAGGTTCAGGCCCTGTTCAGGGTCAAGGCAACTAGTCAGTGTTTTCCTCACAACGGTGTTTCTCCCTCTCTTTCTCCTTCCTTCTTTCTTTTCTTTTCTTTTTTTTGTTTAAATATATTTTATTGATTTTTTACAGAGAGGAGGAGAGAGCGATAGAGAGCTAGAAATGTCGATGAGAGAGAAACATCGACCAGCTTCCTCTTGCACACCCCCTACCGAGGATGTGTCCGCAACCAATGTACACACCCTTGACCAGAATTGAACCTGGGACCTTTCAATCCACAGACCACGCTCTACCACTGAGCCAAACTGGTTTCGGCTTCCTTCCTTCTTTCTATTTCTCTCCCACTCCCATTCTTAAAATCAATTTTTAAAAATAAGTATACAATTTAAAAGAAGATAGCTTCAAACAAATTAAATAATTAAAAACCTGGGACTCACCCAGCCGGTGTGGCTCACTGGTTGAGCATTGACCTTTGATCCCTGTCAGGGCACATGCCCGGGTTTCAGGCTCAATCCCTAGTAGAGGGCATGTAGGAGACAGCTGATCAGTGATTCTCTCTCATTATTGATGTTTCTGTATCTCCCTCTGCCTCCCTTTCTAAAGTAAAAAATATCTATGTATTAAAAAAAGAAAACTAGCCCTACCTGGTTTGGTTCAGCAGATAGAGTGTTGGCCTGTGGACTAAAGGGTCCGGGGTTTGATTCCAGTTAAGGGCACTTACCTTGGTTGCAGGCTCTTCCCCTGACCTGGCCCTGGTCAGGACTCATGCACGCAGGAGGCAACCAGTCGATGTGTTTCTTTCATATGATGTTCCTCCTGTCATTCCCTCTAAAATTCAATGGAAAAATATCCTCGAATGAGGAGTTAAAAAAAAAAAAAGAAAAAACACAATAAACTCTCAGATAGTAAAATTAGAGGTGTGTCCTCTTAAGCGCAGCATCTCCAAATACATTTGTTACTTCCTTGCTTCCTCCTTCCTTGCTCCAGAACTTCAGGTACCTGATCTTTGTGGTAAATGCTAAGCAAACTTAACACAACTTAACACAGGCTTTTATTGAAAGCATATTACATACAGTTACACACTTTGTAGATAATGCAAATTTTAAAAAGACATAGTCTTTGCTCTCAGCTTTAAAATTAGAAGGTGAAAAGGGGCCTACAGAACTGCAACAAAGAATAAAAGTGAGAAGTAGATTCAGCAAAGTTCACTGAAAAGGGTGTGGGAGTTCAGACACTGCTTCCTCTTGTGAATCAGGGAAGGCCCCCATAAAGAAGTGACATCTGAAATGGGCCTGAGATTCATCAGTTTTTCAATATGTAGCCATGGCTAGGATCTCATTTTATCCAGAGTTAAAATAAGGGTTTTATAGTCTCAGAACCAGGTCAGAAAGCAAGTCCTGCAAGATTACCTTTAGCTTATATTAGTAACAGATCATTAAACACAAATAACAAAATATAAACAACCAAAGTTGTACATGGAGAGCTGAGCGGACATTGTCGCCATGCTGCGTTTAAATGTGTCTGGAACCCAGGGCCACTGAAATCTCACTCCAAAGGAAGAAGCCTGACAGAAGGCTCATAGTGTGACCTGATAAGAACAGAGATGAGGTGAAGGTGAGAATTGAAAGTAAAAGGAAGGGGACTGAGGAAAGAAGAACTAAGGAGAAAGAGAGAGAAAAGAAAAGTGGGAAGACAAGTAGGGAGTGGGTGAAAGAACAGGAAAGATGGGCACAAAAAACTCACCAGCGCTTCCTAAGCCAAAATGCAAGAGCTGTCAGGAGCACCAGGGGCACCATCACTGCCAAGATGATCCAGCCCATGGAGCTGTGATGTTGTTCTGTGGGTTTGAGTCCACACAAGGTGTCATTTCAAACCCACCCCCTGTTTACTGCATCTCCCTTCTCTGCCTTTGTTATTAGAGTGTTTGCCTCACTAATCTTTGTTCTTGTTTCCTCTTCAACTCCCTCTTCAGAGTTGAATCTTTCATTAACCCTCAACATCTTCCTACTTCTGTAGGTCTCTTATTTTCAACTCTTCTATTTATGGATTAATTCTGTTCTTTTTTGGGGGGGTCTGGAATCCATAAATCCCAAATGTTCTATTTGGCTCTCCTGTTCTGCTTGTAGACCAATATCCACTCCCATTCCCAGTGTGGGCCCCAGTTTTTCTTACCCAAGTAGAGGAGGATGTCCTGGCCTCCCAGGCTGCTATGTCTCACCCGGCAATATAGGCCAGATGTCTCAGTGGCTTCCACCTCCAAGAAAACCTCAAGGTACCATGTCCCATCAGCATTGGGCAAGATGCCACTCTGTTGAGTGCTCTGCTGTACCTGTTCACCTCGCATCCACTTGACCCAAATTGGCTTTGGATGGAAGCCAGAGACATGGCAAACCAGCATCTGGCGGTCAGGACCGGGATTGGGGCCAGTGGACAGCCAGGCCTCTGGTTTTACTGCAGAGGACAGGAGAGATATTCAGATAAGGACTAACACAGACTTGGAGGTTCATATCTTCACATCAGTTTAGACGGACACATCTATCACATGCTGGCAATTCACACATCATCCTTCTCTCTCCTGACCCCCTTATCCTCATTTTAAAGGGCTGGTGTGAAGGTATAATTTTAGAAAATTCTTGGAGGAAGGATATGGGACTGACCTTCTCTCTGGAGATCTGCCTTCCCCGCATCAAGAATGCTCAAGAGGAAACGTGGGCAGGTGTCACTGAGCAGCCTCCGTATTATTTTGTTGGAGACATGGTACTGACTGAATACTCTGCTCATAGGCTCAGCTGTAATTTCATCCTTTACAGATGGCAGCCAGGAATTGTTCTGGAAGTGCAGGAGTTCTGATCCTTGATAAGCTAATTGACTGAAGTCTACTATGGCTCCTCCAGGGTGCAGCTCACAGCCTCCTGTTATCTGAGTCTCAAAGGGATCTAGGGAAGAAGGGGTGTAAATTAGAGGAAATGGAGTAAAGATGAAATTAGTGGAAGCAAAAAAAGAAATAGAAGAAGTTTGGGGATTTTGAGATAATGGAACAAAGTTTGGTTTGATCAGAAGTTCAGAAAAAGTATAATTGGTGGTAGTTGAAGGTGAAGGAAAAAAATGAATGACTTCTTTTTTTGGAAATAGAAGTTAGCAAATTGTTGAAAGAGCATGACATAAATGGTAAGAACAGGAGAATAAGGAAGCACTTAGTGTGATTTAATAACCTGAGGGGAATGAAATGCAATAGGTTACAATAGCTGAATAGAGAATGCTGAAGAGATCGAATGTGGGGGGAAATGGGAATAAGAAACTCATTGTGACACACACACACACACACACACACACACACACACACACACACCATTGCACCTACCCATTTTTGGAATTGAACTTACATGTAAACTTCCATTGACTGGCATGCCTTTGAATTGTTAGAGGCACGTCAATTAACAACAGATAGAAAAACTTTTCCAGTTCTTTCATCTCTTCCTTGCTAAAGTTGCCCTTAGACCAAGGTCGCAGAAAAATAATTCTTCCAGAGTTGCTGTCCCAGCCATGAGTCTGCAAGTCACCCAGCCAAGCAGAGTTCTGACTTTTCACCCAGGAACGGTTGTAGAAGGATGAGCTGAGGATAATTTTAAAGGAGATCTCCTCCTGGAAGGCTGTGGCAAGAGAACAGATAGAATGAGGAGAAGAAAAGGCATTGGGAAGGAGAAAGGATGAAGAAAAGTGCCAGGAAGGAAACACTCAGAATCTGGAAACATTCAGAATCAGCAGCATTCAGCTGCCCAGGGCCCTATGCTTTACAAACAACCTTCAGAAGGGCATAGGGTCCCAGAGTTCAGGATATGCTGAACTGTGCTGACATTCTCCTCTCCAGGTATGTTCTGAGGACGCCCCAACACACACACACACACACACACACACACACACACACACACACACACACATTTGTACCCAACAGGGCAGTGGCCAGAGTTCTTACCATCTTCATTGTCACCAGCTGCGAGGAGAACAGTTAGCAATGGAATTTGCAGAAGCAGCATTTCAGTTACAGATGTTCTTTCTTTCTCAGGAAAGGTTGTCTTTGGCTTCTGTTTGAAATAAAACTTCACACTACCTCTATTGTGACTTCCTTCTTCTACCAACAGAACAACAACAAAAAAAAGTGTTCCTTCCTTAAACTCTAGGCACTGATTCAACTTCTCATTTCCTCCACTCTGACTTTTAGCTTCTCCCCTTGTTCCCAGCCTTCATTCTGTTCATCTTTCTCTAACTCAGCCTCTATGGATTAAGTCTTATGTGGCATTGAAAAGTCAAGTTATCTCTGGGGACATTTTCTTCTCATTCAGACAATGAAAGCATAAAACCAAATGGTTTTCCATTCCTACCTGATGTTCTGTTGTCCCTGCTCTTTCCTGTCACTCTGTCCTTCTCTTGCCAAATTCAATATTCTTCTTCTGTCTAAGACCCACCCCACCACATTCATATGTAAGACATCTCATTAGCTGATTTATTTGATTTTCAGAATCTCCTATGATTGTCCTGTGTAACAGTGTAATCTATTACTCCATTATCCTAGGGAAGAACCAGTAGCCACCACAGAGACCACAGGAACCTGGAAACATAAAAGAATCTCACCCTAGCCGGTTTTGCTCAGTGGATAGACCATCAGTCTGTAGACTCAAAGGTCCCAGGTTCGATTCCCGTCAAGGGCATGCACCTTGGTTGTGGACACATCCCCAGTAGTGAGTGTTCTGGAGACAACTTATTGATGTTTCTCTCTCATCAGTGTTTCTCTCTATCCCTCTCCATTCCTCTCTGTAAAAATCAATAAAATATATTTTAAAAAAAAATAGTCCTCTGACTTGCATTGATACCCAATGAATACTTACCCAAAAGTCTCTCAGCACCTGCTGGATACAAGCATCTTGCAACACTCATGAATATCTAGTGGTCTACAGGCAATCACTTTGTTCAGGAGCTTTTCTTCTACTTAAGAAGGAAGCACACAAACTGAGGACTAGAAGCCTTGGTGTGCTGGGCTTATGGTAATGTACAGACTAGAGAAAACAAGCCTTCTTGAAAAAAAGTCCCAGCCTTAACTGACGTTGCCCACTCAGGATCTTGGCTCCAGTGATTCGTTCAGGGCGCCGGTCTGTATACCTCTGCTGCGCTGGGTCCCCAACTCTAGCAGAATGCCTCCTGGCAAGGTGCTCAATGAGTGAGTTTGAATGATTGAATAGTTGGGTTCAGGCATCCAATTATTTTTTCATTACACAGGTTTTTAAAAAAATATATTTTATTGATTTTTTAGAGAGGAAGAGAGAGGGATAGAGAGCTAGAAACATCGATGAGAGAGAAACATCGACCACTGCCTCCTGCACACCCCCTACTGGAGATGTGCTTGCAACAAATGTACATGCCCTTGACCGGAATCGAACCTGGGACCTTTCAGTCCACAGACCAACGCTCTATCCATTGAACCAAACTGGTTTCGGCTCATTACACAGATTTTTAACATTCTTGTTTAAGGTATCAGAAATCTTTGCTAGTATTTCTACTTGGTTAAATGAGAATCTTACACAGATTTATCTAGGATTAACATATATGCTAACAAGCCTGAAGTTTATACAGATGCTTTAAATCTCCTATTATGTTTTAAAAAACAGTGGTAATTTGTGGGAAATTAAATTAATAGAATATTCTGGAGTTCTTTATCCAAGTTTTCCTTCTTATTGGCCCTGCTTGGATCTTCCAGCTTATTTTATCATACACTGTTCTTTGCTGGCCATGCTGACCTTGCTCTTTCATTATTGTCATGTTTAAAAGGCTCTTAAAATGGTTTCCTTCATAACTTTTAAATAAATGTGCTTTGGCTATTTGTTATCATATACAAGTAAACAAATTGCCTAAGGCTAATTCTTAAAATATTATTTTGGAAAAAAGTTAAGATTACCTTAACCTAAAATTAAAAAGCCAAAACATGGGGCGATAAGGGTTTATTTTTATTGCAATTTGGGAAGCACAGATTCAAGCAGAAACCACATAGTATTCTGATTACAGGGTGAGAGGAAGGGGATTTTAGGAGAAAAGAATGCAATAATTGCATGAATACACACACACACACACAAACAAACACACAAACAAACAAACAAAAAAAAACCAACTTCTGTTGGTGCTCACAAACTGATAAGTAAATTCCTCCATAGCTATTAAAGGGGTTCAGAACTGGCCTCCCCAGGATATGTCACCCTGGCATTTGTCTTATTTTGAGCCTTAGTGTTTGAATTATATTGACCTAAAGACAATTAAGACTCTGCAGACTCATGAGAAACTTTTACTTCCTCATGGAAAATTTAAATGAGGGGACTTGTCCATATTAAGCTTTCAGCAGAAACAGTAAAAAAAAAAAAAAATCTATTTATTGAATTTTTACAGAGAGGAAGAGAGAGGGGTAGAGAGCTAGAAATATCCATGAGAGAGAAACATCAATCAGCTGCCTCTTGCACACCCCCCACTGGGGATAGAACCTGGGACCTTTCAGTCCTAAGGCTGACACTCTATCCACTGAGCCAAACCGGTTTTGGGTTCAGCAGAAACATTTTTAAACCAATCTACCTGACAGGCAGACTGCTAGTTACTGAACATCTCTTATTACCAACCTTTGAAGCCCCTCCCTTCCCTACCTCATCTTTACCTCAGACTTGCCTCTCACACCTCAGTTTTAGAAAGGGCCACGTGGTCAGTCTGACAAGTTCAGTGACAGAAAGTAAGCTCACAGGGTGACCTGATCATAACTTGCTAACTAGGCGGGTCCCAATGGGCACTCATGCTCCAGGTCTGAAAGGGGTGTCTGCCTTAAGCGAGCTCTGTCCATTGTTCCTGTGCATCTGGGTTAACACACCTTTGACGTGTCCTAAATGCTCTTTTCCAGACCCCTCTCAGGTGTGACTGCCTCACAGAGCACATCATCCTGTTACCTGTCCTGCCCCCCTTTTGGTGCTGGGACTGCACTCCATGAGCTGAGCCACACTGGCCAGGCAGGACCCATGTCCCCTGAGCCTTCACTCCTTCCTGAGATCCCCCCTCTTGATCCACTGGTGCTGAGGTACAGGCAGCTCATGTTCCTACAGCTGCTACCTGGTGCTTCCTCAGACACCACCAGAGCTCTGGAATTTCTCTGTCCTCTAAGCTCCCCTCAGAGCCCAGACTGGAGCTCCCCGCCCACACAGTCTCCCACCCTCATCTGAATCCCCACTCCCCACCAGCAGTAACCTCAACGTAGGGAAATCCACTGCCCCTTACAGGCCTGTGCCTTTTACTCAGCTTATTCTTTTCCCTCCTACTTGGCTTCAAGCTTCTCTATCCTTTTTCTGGCCTCTAGCCTCTCTGTGTATCTGATGTGAGTGCTGCTTGTTCTTCAAAGCAAGTCTCTTGCCATAAAAGGATCTTAGGACTGAGAGTCAAGATACATTCCTGGATGAGACACCTGCCGGATGCAGTGAATTGGAGAAAACACAGCAGCATTCTGGCCTCAGTTTTGTTATCTATAAAATAACTGGTTGAAAGAAGTAACTGTTGTCTAATCTTGTCAGCTTTCCCTCTAGCATTCTGTGCATCCTTCTGGGCTCCCTTTTCTAACCATTCATGTGCTCCTCCTCCCCATTTTGATTTTCCTTCATTTTTTAAGACTTTACTTTTAAATTAGTTTATGTTAAATATTATTTGGTAATAGTTTTAGGTGTATAGCATAGTGGTAAGACAGTTGTATTCTTATAAGGTGTTTCAGTTTAGTAGTATTAGTTTCGGGTGTACAGCATAGTGATGAGACAATTATGTCCTTACAAAGTGTTCCCTCCTTATTTTCAGTGTCCACCTGGTATCTTATATAGTTACTACAGTATTAATAACTATATTCGCAATGTTGTGCTTTATATCCCTGTGATTATTTTGTGATTGTCAGTTTTACTTCTTTTTAAAAAAAATATGTACAGAGAGGAAGGGAGAGAGAGAGAGAGTCAGAAACATCGACGAGATAGTCATTGATTAGCTGCCTCTTGCACACCCCCTACTGGGGATGTGCCCGCAATCAAGGTACATGCCCTTGACCGGAATCGAAACCGGGACTTTTCAGTCCCCAAGCCGACGCTCTATCCATTGAGCCAAACCGGTTTCGGCCAGTTTTACTTCTTTTTTTAAAAAAAATATTCATTGATTTCAGTGAGGTAGGAAGATGGAGAGAAAGAGATAGAAACATCAATGATGAGAGAGAATCATTGATCGGCTGCCTCCTCCATGCCCCACAACCTGGTCATGTGCCCTAACCGTAATCGAACCATAAACTCCTGGTTCATAGGTCGTTTCTTAATCACTGAGTCTTGCCAGCCGGGATCAATTTTACTTCTTAATCTCTTCACTTTTTTCACTCATTCCTTCAATCTTCCTCCCCTCTGGCAACTGTCAGTCTGTCCCCTGTATCTATGAGTTTGTTTCAATTTTGTTCTTTAGATTCATGTATAAGTGAAGTCACGTGGCATTTATTTTTTTCTGACTGACTCTTTTCAGTTAGAATAATACCTTCTAGCCGAAATTGAACTGAAAGGTCCCAGGTTCGATTCCGGTCAGGAGCATGTATGTTGGTTGCGGGCACATCCCCGGTAGGAAATGTGCAAGAGGCAGCTGGTCGATGTTTCTCATTGACGTTTCTAGCTCTCTATCTTTCCCTTCCTCTCTGTAAAAAATCAATAATATATATATATATATATATATATATATATATGATAATACCTTCTAGATCCACCCATGCAGTCACAAGTGGTAAGTTTCATTATTTTTTATGGCTGAGTAATATTCCACTGTGTATCTGTACTACCACTTTCTTATCCCCTCCTCTATTGATGGGCACTTGACTTGTCTCCATATCCTGGTCCTTCTTTGTTTCTCACTTCTGCATGTCTTAGCAGTCATTCTCCATTTAGCCCTCCAGCACAGTCCCAGCCTCCTCTCCATTTCCTCATAGTCCCTGTCCATTCAATATCATCTC